GCATCTCGCCCTCCACAGCCTGGCGCTGACGGGCTCCGGCCTCCTGATCTGGCCGTCCGCGCCCCCGCGCCTCGAGGCACTTCACTGGCCGCTCGGGTGATGCACTTCTACATGAGCATAGAGGGAGTTGTCAAAATTAGGGTCCCTTTTTGGGCACCCTAAATATCAGGTGCCGTATTATAATCAGGACCCCAAAGGGGATCATAATTTTCACAGCTACCCATATGGGAGTTTCCGAAAATAGGGGACCCTGATATAGTACCCCAAATAGTCGGATCTTTGTTATAGGGACCCGAAAATAAGGTAATCCCATTTTCGGAAAGTCCCATCTAGTATAGTATGAGATAGTGCAATAGCATGTAGTTTAAGATAGCATGCTAGAATATAACATAAGGTTGTCTGATGTAATTTTTGGTGCTACAATGCAATGAGGTAGAGTGGAGTAGAGGGTCGTATAGTGCAATGCAGTATAGTCTGGTATAATATCGTAGTATAATGTAGAAAGGTATGCAATGTCATGCAATATCCTAACATGTAATGTGGCATAGTCATATAACCTGGAAGTTAGTAGTCGTATTCTCCAATCGTACAGTGAGTTGTCGTTCAGGTTCGTTCAGAGTTTCCAAATTATCACAGATCTGCATCGAGAGACTTGTCTTGTAAAGAATCTTTCGACACCATCTGCACTTCAACTGTGGGTTTGCTAAAATGGTCTCCCTGTCTGTGAGATCCAAATAGGACTCTGCAAGGTTCATGTGAACGAACTGATTTTCGAACATCATCGCGCATGAAATGCAAGCCTAGCAGCAGCAATGTCAGAAAGCACATGATGAGCATACTCGTGCGTGAGATCCAGTTTCCAGCACTGTACTCAAGCTCGTTCTTGCTTGCAGGTATTGCTGTGGTCCCGTGTGGATTCGTACAGTTTTAGCACCAATGGCATCTTAACTACTGCTGCTGCTGCTGCTGCTGCTACTGCTGCTACTGCTACTGCGACGACGACAACGATTTTCGCAATTGCTGCTGCTACGAGAACAACTGCGACTCGTGCTACTACCGATGCTAGCTACTACGACCAAGACGCTACAGGTGCTGCTGCTGTTGGGGGTTGTTGGTATTGTTGTGGTTGTGGCTGCTGCTGTCGTCAATCAATTGTTGATTGCTGTGCTTATTGTCGTCTTCATCATCGCCCTCTTCGTCATCGTCATGGTTGTCGTCGTGATTGAACCTATTGTTGCCGTCATGCCAATGATCAATGTTATTCCTGTAATGATAATGGTGACGATGCTTACCGCTGACTACTTTGCACAGTAACCAATGGTGCTAGTTTCCTGGGAAGTTTCTGTCTATCGCAGAATGGTTTTTGAATACGCAGTGCATTGTACTGTGGTTTTCACTCATTTACTGCTGTCATGTGGATGGTTTGGAGGAGTATCATCCGGACTTTGACCAGTATGATCTGATACCATCTAGGTCCGACATTGCAGCCCTCTTCAACGAAGCCATCAACGGGATACTCATCTCCCTGCTGATGCGGCAGATCGATAGTATCGCCAGTCGCCTCAAGTTATGCTGGTTTACGGTTTTGGGGATCACGGTTCTCCCCTAACATTCAACCACGTGGAGTGCGATAGTTGGCGATAGTTGGAGCTGAACCCATTGTTCGAGGTGATTTCCGGGAGCTTGGCAAACGGCTGTGTAAGCTCGATGTGCGCATGCAGCAAGTTTCTTGGTCTTCCATCCCACCTCTGGGTTCATCTCCAAGAAGAGCCACTGCAGGCGACACATACCGGCCCGAACCCTTCCAACAGCTGAGGCCAAGAACTATGCGTTCAGTGCGTCGATCTTTGTTACTGCAGGAATGACCTCCGTGGTGTTGAGGCAAGCTTCCGGGATGTCCAACTTTGTGGCAATCGATGGCCTGTGGAGTTGCAGCCGTCAGTGGGATTTGTGTTCGAGTTTTACGACCTGCGCTTTTGTCAGAGACCTTGTCCTCTCTGTCTGGGAAGGACGGATTGTAACCAAGAGAGCAAGCGAAAGTATCGATCGTGAGGCAACAACCTCCGTGGCAGCATCCTGGCTTCAAACATACAGCGAAGGGGCCAGGGTCGGTCTCGATTCTTCCGTTGCTTTACGTTCCTGCTGATCCCCTGACGCGGGAGATGAGTGCTGATGGCTCAAGATCGTTCTCAGGTTTAAAGTACGAGAGCATTTCAGCTTCAAACCTGGTGGTGTAGCCGAGGTTTCACCTGGGCGCCCTGATCTCGGCAACGGCCTCAAATGGCCCTCCACAGTTGGCCCTTCAGGGTTCAGGATTCGGACCCCGGCGCTTTTTGTTTGGATCGTATCCCTCGTGGTTTGGTCTTGGCAGGCTCACGAGGCTTCTTGTACGTACGGTCTCCTGGTCACCAGTAGTCTCTTGTGCTGATGCTTGTTGTGTTCAAGCGTCGTAGCGTAGCGAGCACCGCGAGCCCCCTCCTTGTGTGGACAGCGGCGTTTCAGTAGTTTCGTTCCGAGCAAACACACATGAATGTGAAGTTGGTGAGTTCCCTGCTGGTTTTGGCCCAGGGTCGGCAGTGTCACACCCTGCATTGAAGATGAGGGAGTACAAGTATGTGTGAGCATATTCAAGAACGGTGTGTCGCGCATACTCGGGATGACGTTCCCACACGACAGGGATCATCTGTCATCGTGCAGGCGAATAACCAAACAACCAAAAGGCCAAACCTTACGCTGCTGTGTAGCCTGCCCGAGGTAGTCTCTATGGCTCTCTATGCGAGGTCCGGAGCGAAAGCTCCACCAGACGGGAAGAAGTCTGCTTAAAGTAAAAGAAGCGATCCTGGGGAGGATTGTGGGAAGGGCTGTCCAAGAACCAGCTTTTTGCTCCATGCAAGTGGCATTGCCAGCTCTCTTGTAAAGCTGTCACGATCATATCAAAATTGTGACTATCAGCATACCGTTAGTTTCTGAGTGTGTGGCACCTCGTTGCCCAAGCATTTGCACCAAGACCGACTAGCGGGGCCCTCTAAGAGAATAGGGCCTAAAGTTCCCGGGAACAGGTCAGGTTGATGGGAGGTGGGAGAATGTTTGATGGAAGATGTGAGTTTTGATCTCCAAGTCGATGGCCCTGAAGTCTGACCCCAAGCTGATGCGACCTGCTGCGGCCCTTAAAACCTGAACATGGGCGCCCCTTGAGTCCAGCATCCCTTAGGTGCCAGATGTTGAGAAGACAAAATGTGTCCCACTTTGGCGGAGGATGGCGTGCAGTACTCCTGGCGTGTGGAGGCTCCCGTGCTTGCGTCAGGGGATCCTTCTTAGCTGGTTCCAGCTGCTAGTCAGAGACTTAGTTGTAAGAAGCTGACCCTGAAAGGCTAGGATATCTTCTGTTTGGCTAACATACTTCAATGATTTGTCATTGACCTCTACTGTTCTTGCGGGGCTGATAGACATTTCGACGTCATTCATACACACGTTGTCGATGTGCGTAGATCCTCCTCCACCCAACAACTCTCACCCTGAACCCAAAGCCCCACTGAACCGTCGACACTGTTCGCAGCCTTTTCAGGAGCCTCTGCTTGCAAAGCACAGGTCTGAAACCTCAAGCCTAATTTGCAAGGCACTCAGCTTGAAGTCTTGAGCACCTCTTTACTGTACAGTTTTTATACTCTACATGTGTGTATACGCGTTGTTTTACCAGCAGGCAAGATCCTAAACCTTAATCCCAGCTCCCACGCATACTCTACTTTATTGCAGTCCCTTTTCATTTCGACACCCCACTCCCGCCTCAAGCTCTCGATGTCCCGGCTTCGTCTCGTGCCGCCCCTGCACCGGCGCGTGCTGCGCCGCCTTGCAGCCATTGCTCCACGGCTCAACTGTAGTATAATTGCTGCCATGACTCTTTGGGGACTGCTAGTATACTCAGCTGTACTTTGACTTCTAGGTCTTTACTATCCTAAACCCTAAACCCTAAACCCTAAACCGAGGAGCAGCGGCAGTAGGAGGAGCAGTAGGAGCGCCTGGAGAGGGAGCATTTTTGCAGCAGTAGGAGTAGGGTGAGTAGAGTTGGAGGAAGTAGCAGCGGTAGCAACAGTGGTGCAACTTTGTAGTGCTGCAATGAATGCTTCAGTCAGATAAGGCCCTTGATGACATCAGTGGTCCTTTTGTTACAAGCAGGAGTCGTCATGCCGCAAACGTTCGCAGCGTCTCTGACCGTTCCTTTTTGCATGGTAGTTCTGCTGGTGGTGGTTGTGGTGGTGGTGCTGCTAGGGGTGGTAGTAGCAGTCGTCGGCGTAGAGTAGTGCAGTAGGCATGCAAACAAGATAAGAAGCCTTAGCCCGAAGATCCGGTAGCGGAACGTATCAGGTTTTCGCGACGTGCTTTGTACACCTCCTGCAGGCACGCAGTGTTCGGTCTTGAGAAAGAGAGGTTTTTGGAGTCTTGTAGTCGCATGCAAGGATCTCTACCAAAGCTGCTGAGCTGTTCGTGCATGATGGCCCTACGGATACCTCTATCAGGAAAGCAGAGACCAAGCGCCAAGCTCTCCAGCAGTATTGTTCGACAGTATGCAGGCAAGTCGTTGTCGCAAGGGATGAAGCATCGATACCCAGCCGAAGAAACTTTCCGAAAGTATCACCTCGAAACTCCGCCGAGTCGACTCTCATTGGCCATGCATGTCTCATGAGCAAGATCCCTCAAATGGACATGCTAAAGTCCTTTGATTCTCGGGCTTCCCACTTTCGGATCCTAGAAGCAGAGAGTCGGCTCGATGAGCATAGCCAGTGGGGCAAGCCCTTCAATCATTGAGGAGACTTCGGGAATACCGAAAACCCCTCCATAGTACAAGCAATTAGAACAGGGTTTTGGGGCGCATTGAGGAACCTCCAAAATAGTATAGGCAGTATAAGTAATCATGAAGGCCCCATCCCTAAATCCCTTATAGAACCGCCATAGTATTCCTCTAAGGAACCCTTTGAAGAAACTCTAAACCATAGTTAATAAGGATGTCAACGCCCTCCACCCATAGCGGCGATTCCTGCGAGGACGCCTTCGCACCGGCGCCTTTGCCCTCGCCAACGTCGTCTCCTGGGCGTGAGCCCGAAAGAAAGAGGCTGGATGGGGGCTGTTGAAATGTCTGCGATTTGCACTTAGCGCCACTATAACAAGAGTACTATAAGGGTACTACAGAATAAGGGCTACTATAATAGGGGTACTAGCGAGCATAGTGCTATAGTGATCATTCTTGGAAGTGTTGCTGTTAGTACCACAAACCTCACGGCGACGACGACGAGCATGACCAGGACAACAACAGCCCCTGACCCCGCCACGAGCTCGATACTTTCCGATTTGGGGCAGAATTAGTGTATTACGCCTGCAAGCAGCAGTATTGACGATGCAAAGAGTTCCTGAAGTTCATCCCGAGCTTTCAGACCGGGTTCTTTACAGGGTCGTAGGCATTCAGCAGTTTGTGCTTGGCTGGCGCTTCAAGGTTCGGTCGTGAGGGGGAGCTGAAAGCTTCACAAATTCTCACGCGATGCTTCAAAGTGGGTTGGGGTTTCCTACTGCTTTGGTTCAGGGTTTCGGTTTTGGGATTCGAGGTATCCATTTCCACCTTTGCAAGTTCCCTGCATCCAAGCCTTGTGGCCTCAACATTGCGAGAAAAGATATTCATGCTCAGGCATCACGGGCGCTTCGGTCACAGCAGAATGCCACCCCTCTCCTTCTGATGATGATCATGCGACTGGTGACGAATGGGACCAGGACAGGAGCATTATAGAAGCGAGGATGATTACCGCTACCATTCCTAAGGGTTCCTGATTCTACTCATACTATAACTTGGCCCATTTTGCCCCCAAACCCTTGTCCTATTTATAAGGGCCTCAAAAGCGTTCCGACCATCCTGTAATTTGGGCCCAAAACCTTATCCTATGTATTAGCCCTCCCCCCCTCCCCCCCCAAAAGTGTTCCGACCTCAAAGAGACCGGGCTCTTTCGGTTCTTTCGGTCTGGTGTTCAGGCTCTCGGGCCGCCAGTTCGCGCCGTCAGATGCAGAGGCCTCTTCTCATTAATTATGCACAAATAAATAAGTTCATGAAGGTTATATATATATATATATGGATAAATGACCAAATCTATACAAGTAAAGCTACAAGTAGATAATGCTTGATCATGCTTGGGCTCAGAATTACTCGGGGTTGGGCCTTCGAAGACTTGTCTCGAGATCCGGGTCTAGGCACTGCTTTCGAGGACTGGACGGTTTCAGGTTCTTTTGCTCGTCACCTTTGTCACGACTCCCATGGTCCCAAGGTGCGGCCAGATTCCGGTCAAGATGGCTGGGAGGCGGTCGTTTTCCTCTGTGCCGTGGCAGAGGAGAAGGAAGTGTGGCCTTGTAGTGTGGCCTTGTAGTCACTTCGGTCTGATCCCAGAGTCCCTGGCGCAACCGAGCCCAGGTGCCTTGGGCATCATGATCAGCTACGCAGATGCCCAGCCGCAAAGCTTCACACCCCACGAACTCCTTAGCTGAAATCCAGAGTACGCCTGCGTAACATGATCTCCCAGAGGATTGCTTCGCGTTTCGATGCCGTGCCCCTGCCCAGAGTTGAGAATTTAGCGGAGTCGCCTGGCACGGCATGCAACTCTGTGTAAAAAATCAAGTGAAGGCAGGGTTTTCTTGATTTTACAGGGTTTCGGAATCACTCCAGCCACAGCCAGAAGTCATGCGGCAAGGGCTTGTGAAGCCCCACAGCTAAGACGCTTTGCCTTCCTCCGTCGCTTCACGGCTATTTCAGTACCACCGACCCTTGAATTGAAACCGCGCTTCAGCACAGTCAAGCTCCAGGACAGGTCCAATATCTCCATTGCCATCATCGGTATGGCCAAAGACTTTCAATGGGATAAGGCAGAACATGTCAATATTCGCGTTTGTGGCCGTGAGTGATTTGATGGTCTGCACGGGAAGTCACTGCATCCTCAGCACGTTTGCTCTGCACCTGAAGACCAAAAGCCATCCGAGCAATGTCTTCTCCCAAAGCCCAAAGCCCTAAATTGCAGGACCGGGGTCGAATATGTCTCAAGAGAGCCTTTGAAACTTTGCGGGGGCTTTTGCCCGAAGAATGAGAATCGAGTTCTGGGGTAACCGAGACTCGCATAGGGCTGCTTTGGAAAACGCACGATGCTACCAACTGGTCCAACAGTTCGCATTTTAGAGTCCGGGGTGTCTCGCACGACGAAGGAAGCAACAAGATAACTTTCTCCGAATTAAGCATATCCATGCACGTTCCAAAGAAGACAAGACAATTTTGTGATGACAGGATAATGCACCGCTAACAGGAACCGTAGCTGTGTGGTTCTCAGCAGTCAAGACACTACCTCATCCCCATCAGCAGGATCACATGTTAAACGTCCCCTTCAGGCCTTCGAAGGCACCGTCCTGTCCGCCTTCTTCGGAGGTGGCTCGGGCATGAAGCTTTGGTCTTTTGACATGTGGACATATTCCAAACTCTTCCAAGTATTCGGAATCGGAGGTTACGCGGCGACACAGCTGCTCGGGGGACGCCTTGCCGATGTCCTGGGAACGAAATGGGTGCTGGCTGCAGGACCTGCTATGGAGCCATGTTGGGGCATGTGAGCCAGGCATAGCATCAGGCTCGAAGATTTGTTGCCAGGTGCAGGCTTGGAGGAGCAACGGGCATGCAGCCAAAGGCAGCATGTTTTATCAGGAGATCATTTTTTGCAGCAGATAAACGGGACACGGACGAGAATAAGAAGGGAGAAACTGCGAGAGAGGCGGGGATTACATCTATGTGTACAAATATATGTATAGGCATTTGTGTATGCATATGTATTATGTATAATTATGAGCATAAGTTCGTGTTTATCCGATGCACGAAGTAGAAAAGCGCTCACACTCCGAAAGGTCCCTCAGCACCCCGAGAGTAACCGACAGCGCTGCCTTCCGAGGACTAAGCACTTGGTCTTTGGCCACTGCGCTGACGCCGCTGGCTGCTGCTGCAGGTGCAGGTGCCCCGAGTGCTTCGGATCTTGTCAGTCTAAGGGTGTTAGGTGTCAGGTTGAGGGTGAGCTTTTGATTGATCGAGCGTCCAGCCGGGATTCGTACGTACACAGAGGTTCGCATGGGCGAGACAGAAGGACATATACATCCGGCAGTTTGGCTTAAGTCTGAGTCGTGGCCAACTCAAAACTATACATTACATTGGACATGTAAAACCGTCGATTACCGTGTGTCTTACAACGCTAGATTTGGGCGAACAGAGTCTACCTGAAGGCAAGCCGGGGTATTAACGTGCCCGGCGAAGCAGCTTATAAATACAATTGTGCCAGTCCTTGTCTGTTGCATCAGTCTAGAAGCAATTCTACCGATTCTACCTGTGGATCTTGCGTCCGGACATGCAGAAAGACCTGTTTTTTGGCTCCTTTTGGCCATGCTGCAGACAGGCATTTGTGTTAGTGCTGGCCACGGAACTGTTTCTGCCGTCGGCAGTGCGGGCAAAGATCCAGTCAAATGTACAGGTTGACGGAAAACACCTGTTCAGATGTGCTGGTCATCTGAGTCGCGCGCTGGCGACACGCTTACAATCGCACTTTTCGCACTTGCGACACGATCTTTCTCGAAGTTATTTTTTCGTGTCGAAATTGGTTGGGATGATCTGTGATATTTTTTTTTAGTTGGTCTTCTCCAAAGTGGCTTGCCTGCATGCCAATGCGAAAGTCTGTTAGTATCCGACATGTTTGTTACCGTACCCTTGGCCACAGGTCCTCTGCTTGCCGTGCGGCTAGCTTTAGGCTTGGGCGAAGGACCTGTAATCGCACTGGCGCCCTGTCACCATGGCATCATTTATATGTGCATCTCGGACTTGAGATTCCCTACATGCATAGAGCTGGGAATATCGTTTTGATCTGGACTAAAGTTGCTGGGGTGCCTGAACTCAAGAGGCACAGCAACCTTCCTTTCACACGAGCGAGTGGCTAGGATTGTGATCATTTGGAGGAGACTGGCCGCAGATCCAACGAAGCACTTCGAACACTGCGCGCACAACCTGGGCAGCCTAATTCTAAACACTAAACTCCAACCCCCGCTCCCGTTGAAAGAATCCTTATGGTCAATCTCGTTTGCATCTTTGTAGACAGTGCAAGGTGCAAACATGAAGAAGGATGCAACGTCTCCTAAGTTTGCGACAGGCTTTGAGTTTCCGCTCTAGGTACCAAGCCATAGAGAGACTCTTTGAAGCGAGAAGTTGCGCAGGAGTTGCTTTTCCAGCTGTGCATGCGGCGATTGCCCGGCTGGTTCCTCGAAGCCAGTGTCCCGTCTGTTTCTTCGTGGGCTGGGGGTGCAAGCTAGTAAGCATGCCAGAACTTGAAGCTTCACCGCACGATGCCGCAATGCTGTAGAGTTCTGCAGTTGCCTTCTGCCTCGTCTTGAGCAAACCAAGAGTCCAGCAGAGCCGGGTCGAGATCGCGACAGAAGTGGCAGTGGTCGCGGTGGTCGGGGTGATGGTGATGGGTGTGGTGGTGATACTGATGGTAGCGGTGAAAAGCGTAAGCTTGACGCTGCATCAAAGGATGTGATGTGGTCTGAGTTGAATCGAGAGCTTGATATTGATAAGGAGGCAGGCGATTGTGGGGATGATAGTGACGATGATCCCGACTGATGGCTGTCATGATGGTGAAGATGAGATGGCAGGGGGAGGTATCGGACGCGAACTTAATAAGATGAACTAGCATTCTGTGATACTTCTCATCAATGCTCCGAACCGAACTCTTTCGATGCAGCGGCACCTGCCGTTAGCAATGCCCACTTGCAATCGCCTGTCCTGACAACCAACAATTGAGGCAGTCCTTCGCCGTTGGACTCGTGACAGCTGCGTCCTACGGTGGAGCCGGGTTGCCGGGTGAAAGATATTTGTGACACTGCTGTGGTAGGATTGATCATGCTCTGAAATTGCAAGGCCGCGTGGGGCCGACTGCGATAGGAGTCTTAAACCCATGCTCTTGAATGTGACTGCTGGGAAGTATTACTGCTGTATAGGACTCATGAGTCAAAGCCCCCATCATCCGGAAACGTAGACCTAACTTCTGAGCTTTCGCCAGAAGAATCAGCTTGGAGACCTTCAGAAGCTACCCATCTCTGTGCAGGCTTGCATTCCTCCTGGTTCCCGGGATTATCGAAAACTACGGCTGGCAGGCAGTACTGCTTCCGTAGTCAAGCCATGATAGCTTGGAAGCCAGTTTGGTGTTGATCCCTACCAAAGGCCAGCATGGAGGGATGCAAAGGGAAAGAGCGTGAGAACAGGGGTTGAAAGCCCAAGCCTTCCTAGTCCCCGGCTCTATAATTGTAGAACCCCAGTATAGGATATAGAACGCATACAAGGGAGCCTTGGAGCCCTAAGCCCCCCTTCAAGGAGCCCCTTTAAAAGGAACCCCTGCTCTGCTGAGACGTCCTTCTTCGGCTTCGGAGCCCTTGCCTTGCTTTGGCTGCCGCCCTGGTTGGCCGTGGACGTCGCGAGTCCATCTGCGCCGAGGCTCCGGCTCAAGGGTTCTGCTTCCCTTAATCCCCCGAATATAGGGGCCTTAATTATAATATATGATTATAAGTACCTATACTATTAGGGGCCTTAATGATAGGTACCTATACTATTTTGGGGGTTCCTTTGTTCTCAGCCCCTTAAGCCCTAAAGTCCCTAAAACCTTTTACCCCAAACCCCTGTGCCCTGAACCCAGGGTTGAGGAACCCCACAAAGCACGACCAAAGCCCGGCCAGATCGAAGTCACGAGGCATGAACCTGAATGTCCTTAAACCCTAAACCCTAAGAAGACAGTAGCTTACGTAGGGTTTAGGGTTTGTGGGCAAATTCGAAGACGGACTTAGGCGTTCTGTTACGTGGGATTTAGGAAGTACCCATCTTATGCCAGTGTTTGTCGATTAGAGCTTGATGATGGCTCATGGGGCAGGTTCTCAATCTCCAGCAGGTTGATGTTCTGTGGGATGTACGTACGGTCTCCACATTAAGCCTTAAGAGCCGTCAGCAGGTCTCCTTCAGCAGAGGCTTTCTCTCCTGCGAAGATCGCGGAGGGCTTCACCGGCACAGTGAAGGAGCACTGCAGAGAATCTGAGAGACCAAAACCCTATTCTGCTTTTTAAGCTTTGAATTTTTAATGACGGCTATAGATACCTTTGAAGGAACCCTTAGAGGAGCCCGGACGATCCCCTTCTCCACGAAAGACAATCCCCCCATGCAGGAGCTGCTCCCCCTGATGCGGACGAAGGAAGTCTTGGCTATCTGCGTGGCCCAGTCCCATGGTTCATGGATCCGAACCCTAAAACCCAAAGCCTTAAACCCCAAAACCCCAAAGCCCTAAAACCCTACACCCTAAAACCCTGAACCCTAAACCCTAAACCCCAAAGCCTTAAACTCCAAAACCCGAAACCCTGAACTGTGTTGGATGTACCGGATCCTCGGGGTGTGTAGAGTGTTTGGGCGTTCTGAGAGGGCTCTGCGAGGGATGTCGCGTTGGCGACAAGAGGGGCTGCCTTCAGTTCGACGGTGAAGGGATTTCCATTCTTATTTTTAATATTTCTATTATTGGTATTACTGGTACTATTATGAGCTATTATGATTATTACCATTATGGTGTAGGACTGGCGGATCACTGCAGACGTGGCTACAGTGGAAACTTTCCGGCGTCGTGACGGACTCCAAGAATCATTTTCTCGGCTGAAATGCAAAGCCTCAATGCCCGGCCCTGGCCCTAAACCTTGAAATCATAACCAAACGAGTCCAAACCGATATAGGGATAGTTGCTTTCAGGTACACGAACGGCTTTGGGCTCTACGGTTTGCTCAGCTGGCGAGCTGCCTGCATCTTCTTGTCTTGTGCGGAGGTTTCCCAATGTTCGAGGGCAGACGTGTTTCAGAATGGGGCTCTTCGGCTTTGCCTGTGCGAGCTTAACAGGGCCCAGGGGAGTTTCAAATTCAGTTCGAGGAACGAAAAATTTCAGCGCTCCTTGCTGGTCCCTTTTCAGGTTGCAGGGCTTCTGGGGTTGTGTAGTAACGGCTGCTACATGGCGTCTAAGGAAAAGGTTTCAGTTCGTTACGTTTTCTGGATTTCCCAGGCTCCCCACTTTCTTCGCGGAGCAGTACGGCACGGCCTTGGCAGACTTGTTTTTCGGCTTATACTGTCAGCGGAGCCGGTGGATTGACAAACCTCGCTTGTGTCAACGCAAATTGTATCGCATCCATCGCGAACTAGCTAGTATCATCACCAGTCTTTAACAACTTTGCTATGGTTAATGTTAACTGTATCATGACTACTGCGACAACTCGTAGTCTCGTTGTTAGCTTTCACGTTCGGGTCGACTCTTCGGGATCGACCTTTCGCGAGTTGACGCATAGTATACACACGGGTGCCGTGCCAACGATGTGCCCACTGTGCAGGTGCAGCCCAAGTTGTAGCCAACAAATTACATGTGTTTGATACACATACATACATATATATATATATATACATATACATATATATATATATACATACGTACGGACACAAATACACACGAATACGAATGCTTTCTTTCTTTATATATGCATGTACAGACAAAGCTATGTACTTATATCACTATCCCAGTTAAAGCTGGTGTTAGCTGAGGCCGGTGCTGACAACTCTGCCCTACCTTCTGCAGGCCTTGCATGCAAGTAGCACAACACATTACACACAGCAAAAAATTGCGTTATCAGTCTTGTCTTCCTGCTTCTCGCCTAATTTTTACCTGTGCGTCGACGTTAATGATGCGGCAGTTTTCCGAGAGGAAGCATGTCAGGTGCAGTTCACAGCAGATGAAGAAACGGGCAGTTGCGACTGCCGCAGCTACACAAGCATAGGATTGCATCGACGAGATCAGTCATGCTAAGAGTCACCTCGTAGCAGTAGGAGTAGTCACCAAAAGTCTGAGCCAGCGCAAGGGAAACAGGACGGCGGTTGAAGCCGCGAGTCTGTATGGTCCATGTGCATCCGTCAGCTTCTGGTTCATCACCACGATGATCCATATCAGCATGGTCTTCGGACGTACCCCCATCTCCGTCTCATTCTGAACACCCAGTGTACGTGCATGACTGATGATTTTGTGCATGCGCTCCCGGCTTCTCTTGACATTGCCGGCATGCTGCATCAGAACATGACGGTGTCAGACAAGAAGCCAGAAACAACCTTGGCAGGTGAGTTTAGTGAGGGCAGCGTGTGGTTTCCTGCGATTGGCTCGGGTTTGCTCTTTCTGGTTGCACACTAAGTCGCAATCCCGTTTGCTAACCCAGAACCCCCTTAACCCGAAAGCCCGCCCACCTTTCTCAGGCTCTCGTGGGAATGGCAGTCGGTGGCTTTGCCGATCGATCCCTGGCGCAGGGGATGCCGGTGGCCACCGTCCGCAAGGGCTTGCAGACTGCAACTTGACCTCACCACGATCTGGTTTGAGGTTCGGACTGACGCTTGAGGTTCGGGCTGTCTTTCGCCAGCGGCTTTCGTCCGCGTGCATGCCGGTGGGGCTCCTCCAACCAAGCAGACCTTGCAGTCTTCGCCATGGTTACCTGGTTCGGCGGTACTGATTCTGCTGCACGCGCAGACGTTGGCAGACTGCGTTCATGTGCTATGGCATGAATTCTTTCTCCTGTCCCGCCGAGCCACGACATGCCCAGTATCGGCCTTCGCCACGTTCCAAACGTTCACGAACAGCCCACGGAACTGTCCTGGTGGAAAGGTAGGCATGCTGGTGCCCGCTGCTGCCCTGCTATTGGCCGCGTCTCCCGCCACTGGCGGCTTGGTCAGGGGGATATTCATATTGTTCAGAAACGTAGAATATCTGCTTTGCAAAGGTCAAGGGACGGCTTGATATTCAGGCATGTCTGCAGTGATGTCAACCCTGCTTGAGAATTGCTTTGTATGGCGATGCTGCCTATTCGAGTCAATGTGCTGCCTTGCAAGTTTTCCGTGACTGAATAAACGTTAAACCCGACAGGGAACTCTGCTTTGCTCAGGTGGCTCCGCGGCTGTGGGCGGCGCGCTGATCGACGTGGGCCTTGCAGCCAATGCACTGACACTTGGGGCAGTCGCCAGGAAGCAGTGACGAGGGGCATGTATGGTTGCTCCCGGAAGCCATCGGGTCTCAGGAATTTCAGAAGGTTTTGGGTGTGATTTGGATTTCCTTCGGAGCTCTTCGGAGGTGTATTAAAACAGAATTAGATTTGCAACGAGGAGTTCGAAGGAACAGCATTCTTCATTATTCCGACTCGTTGCCCTCGTCGTAATAAGCAGAGGTGAGTGTCAATCACCTCGACGTCGCCCCACGCCACGCCGGGGCGATCTTTGGCTTAGGCACGGCTTTCAATTCCTGAGCCGCGGTTTGTTGCTTGTCGTAAGTGCTCTGTCATGCGGGTCAAGCCTTTATGGCATTGTTTGGGTACGCCCCCCACTCAGTAATAGTTGAAGAATATTCATAATACAGATATAGTAGGACCTTAATAATAGCCCTATTAAAACTCTTACTGCATGGGGGCCGTACCTAAGGCATTGTGTGACCTTGTTGCCGCACCGGTGCAGCGGCCCACTGGTGAGCAATCTCAGAACGAACTACGCAGCCTCGCAGTTCCCGAAGTTATTCATGGCGATTCGCTATCTCACTCGCTCACTCGCTCGCTCACACTCACACTCACACTCACACTCACACTCACACTCACACTCCCACTCACACTCACACTCCCACTCCCACTCGCACTCGCACTCGCACTCGCACTCGCACTCGCATTCGCACTCCCTCTCACTCTCACTCTCACTCTCACTCTCACTCTCACTCTCACTCTCACTCTCACTCTCACTCTCACTCTCACTCTCACTCTCACTCTCACTCTCACTCTCACTCTCACTCTCACTCTCACTCTCTCTCTCTCTCTCTCTCTCTCTCTCTCTCTCTCTCACAGTCAGTGAGTTAGTTCGCCAGGAGCTGGAGGTAGTTTGCACTTCCGCAGGCAATACCTTCGCCACGTTTGCCGGCCTGGTCGCCACTCCCCTGACAGGCCGTCGGCTGTCAAGCTTGGAGAGATCTAGGCAGAGCCGAACACCATTTTTTGAGCTGAAGCCGCCGCAACGCAAGGCGCCGTGCTGGACAAGACGGGCTCCTGGGAAATAGTCTTTACTATCATCACCTTCCACTATGTGCCACGGCTGACTTCTGAGTCTGCGACAGAGATGGATTTCCGTTTGCCGCTTCCGGGCTTGTTGTGACAGCAGCGATGGCCTTTTCCACCCATCCGAAGCCCCAGCGACCAAGACCTGAACCGAACTCCAAGGGCCCAAGCTTGCCTCTTCTGTGGGAAAGGTGGTTGGGGCCGCGGTCTTCGCGCTTTTTTCCGGTGATCGAGCCCTTGAAGAAGACGGACAAAGCTGAGCCGCCTTGGGGGCCTTTGGGTAGTGGTAATGTGATTAGTCGCTCCTGCGATCGTAAGAAAATGCGGGTAGCCACAGCATTATAATTTGTGGTAGTATCCATACTCAGAGCATTCGTATGGTAGTGGTAGTGGTAGTGGTGGTGGTAGTGGTAGTGGTAGTGGTAGTGGTAGTGGTAGCAGTAGCAGTAGCAGTAGCAGTAGCAGTAGCAGTAGCAGTAGCAGTAGCAGTAGCAGTAGCAGTAGCAGTAGCAGTAGCAGTAGCAGTAGCAGTAGCAGTAGCAGTAGCAGTAGCAGTAGCAGCAGCAGCAGCAGCAGCAGTAGCAGCAGTAGCAGTAGCAGTAGCAGTAGCAGTAGCAGTAGCAGTAGCAGTAGCAGTAGTAGTAGCAGTAGTAGTAGTAGTAGTAGTAGTAGTAGTAGTAGTAGTAGAAGTAGTAGTAGTAGTAGTAGTAGTAGTAGTAGTAGTAGTAGTAGTAGTAGTAGTAGTAGTAGTAGTAGTAGTAGTAGTAGTAGTAGTAGTAGTAGTAGTAGTAGTAGTAGTAGTAGTAGTAGTAGTACCAGCATCAGGAAAGCATAGCAACGATATTTCGAACATGAATTAGACCAGAACCGACAAACATGATGCAGACAGACTTCATAAAAAGATGAGCAACGACTGAAGCCAGGGTTGCAGGGCCTTCGGTAGGGCTGTGTGGCCCAAGTCCTGCACAAGCTACCGTAGTATGACAAGGTCGCAGACGGAGTCACGGGGGAAAGTGGCTTGCAGCCTAGCATTAGCGCCCTGAAGCGGCGAAGTCAGAGGTAAACGGAGGTAGTCCCCCAGCAGTGCCTGCATCAGCTACATCACCAGCGGCTTCACGCTGGTTGTCGTGGTCGTGCAAGTTGCTACCTCGACATGAGTTCACTTGGGGTGCCTTGTCGAAAGTAGAAGGCAGCGGAATGTGTCGGGGGTCTTTAATCCTGGCCTGCGCAGGTGAATGGCTTTACAGACAACGACGGCTGGCGCTATGCGCGGAATTTCGGACGAGGGTCACAATGGAGGTGCCCTTGCATGGGGCCGATCGCTGCTGCCAACCATTGCCCTTCCCGGTTGCAAGAGTAGCTGCGATTTCGTTGCGTCAGCTTCTGGCTTTGGTACTTTCAGCCTGCATTGCCCGCTTAGTCCATCCCCGGACCTATCAGCTGTTGATTTTTGATGGATGGAAACACAGACTTTGTCCGGAAGCGGCAGGAACGCATTCCAGCATCAAATGTTCGTGCGAAGGAGGTGCTACGCCAGGAGCTCGGGGGCAGAGAAGGGTGAGCGGGGGGATGTTGGTTCTTCTCATAGGCTCACTGGATAGGAGCCTAAAGAATTACCAATACTATTTTGGAGGTTCCTCATATTAATTGTAGTATAATGGGCCCCGAAACCCTATTCTAATTATTGAGGCCCCTATATTACAAGCATTCGACTAACTTGAAGAGCCCGAGGTCGGCAGGCCACTCAATGCAGAGGCCTGGACCGTGATGCATGTCAAGACCTTTGGCAGTGAAAGTCTCTGTGGTAGATTGAACTTCACTGGAGCACTTGAGGACGTGGAATTCTCAACTTAATCTTTTTATTCAATAGCTTCGGTCTGTCTTTCCGTACAATGCATACCGCAGCTGCTGCTGGTGCATTGTCTGGCACAAGTTCCATGCATCGGACATGCAAATGCATCGTCCCTTTGAAACGTCCTACGCCGTGTCGGGCGAACGCACACGCGACATGGCAAGTGATTACAACATGACTGTGTCCTACCTGGCGTCTGCGAACAGCTATGGCGGATTTAGCGATGGTCGAGCTCAAGTTTACATCCATCCTCAGAGCGATCCGTACTTTGAAAATCTGTCGCAGATGGTGCCGGGGGAAGGCTTTGATATGTCAATGTATCCCCCGGGATCGCGAGGACATTCCGCTGGGGTCTGCCGTCCTTGTGCTTGGTATTGGAAGCCCAAGGGCTGCTGGCATGGGAAGGACTGCCCACACTGCCACCTTCTGCACCCTCGCACCAAGCTCAAGAAGCCCAAAACTAGGACACCTAAGCCAGATTTTCTGCTGAATCAGAGGCGTGAGATGGTCCACACGGATTTCACACCAGCACCTCTCGACTACTTGGCCCCAGTGTGGCAGCCAGGAGGGGATGTGGCAAGTGCAGCTGCGCCCTGGAATTGGCAAGTGTATGACGAGGAGATTCCGCCCCAGACTGATCTGGCATCCGGCAGCTCGGCTCTTTCCGAGACCTCTTCTCAAGTACAGGTCAGAGATCCCGTTCCCCAGGAGCACAGGAAGTCAGCTGCACAGTGGTTGGCCGAGGGCCTTGGTGATCTCAATGCCCCTCAAGCCTCGCCTGATGGAGAGGCCCTCGCCATGCCCGTGCTGCGCATGCGTCTTTAAGAAGGCGACATCCCGGGGGAGACGGAGACATTCTTGAAGCAGGAGGTTGACTTCAGGACCCGGCTGAGACCAACGCGCCCGCTTGGAGAAAAGGGGTGAGCTTCTTCGTACATCGATAGCAGTATGCACGCCTTGGTTTTCAATACGCGTGTTCCGACCAGTATTCCACCTTTGTTGCACGCCTAGTAGTTCCCTAACCGATCACCGTTCAGTTCTTGCGCTCGGCTTATTTAGGTCGATGTGTGTGCGAAGTGCTTGGGTGTTCCTTCTCATGATGAAGAAATGCTGATCTGCTGGATTGCCTGAAGGCCGCGAAGCCGCGAGAAGCGACAACGCCGCTCCCAGGACTCCTCTAGCTGCAGGTCTTTAATGGCCGTCAGAAGGGTTTTCGGGTAAGCCACATCATTAAAGCAATGTCCATGTAGTTCACAACCGGGCTTGATCTAGGTAATGCGAGCGAGATGAGTTGTTTCATCGTTTGCCTCAGATATGCGAAATCCGCGGTTCCGAGATCGAAGGTAATCACCCATGTTATCTTGTCATCATTTCACTTCCTTTGGTGCCAGAGCAGGCAACAGCACCATGGAGCCCTCAGTCCTCAGGAAGCCGGTGCCCAAACTCCTCGAAGCTCACATGCTTGCTAGCAGCCTGTGCTTTCCAAGCAAACACATCCCCCAAGCCCGAGTTGACCATCTCAGAACGCCAGTTTCGATAAAAGTCCCAGCGTGAGGATGCGTGGAGACTGAGACAGGGTTCAAGGCCCACCGTTCAGATATTAAATTAATATATATATATATATATATATATCCATATATATATATATATGCATCTATCTATCTATATATATATATATACACATCTATCTATATATATATATATATACACACACACACATATATACATCAATATATGTATGTATGTATGTATGTATGTATGTATGTATGTATGTGTGTGTACGTATGTATGTATGTATGTATGTATGTATGTATGTATATATATATATATATATATACATACATATATACATATACACATACATACATGCAGACACACACGTTTCAGCGTGCAGCGCATGTTTCAATGTCTTGGTAAACTCTTTCAAACCCTGAAGCTGAGATGATCCGAACGTTTCATGGCTTGACATCTCGGGCCTCGAGCTTGCAAAGACCCAAGGATTTCGGGGCCTCAGATTTCCAGTCTCGTCCGCTAGGCTAAGATATATACTGTAGTATAGTACAGTACAGTATAGCATAGCATAATGGAGTTCCTTACAGTATCGTGTGGTGTAGTACAGAAAAGTATACACAGTGCTGTTTGATGCACAGCCCGGCAGTATAGTTTTCATAGCCCACGCCGGGCTCTTGTGATGCCCTAAAACCCCCTGAAAGCCCACGCTGCTACATTTTACATTATTATCTTATGTTTTTTCCATTCCCTGCGGTCGAGCCAATCCAGGCGATCGCCTTGCAAGATCCTATCCAGATCACGTTAAACCCTAAGCCCTGTACCGTAGACTCCTGCAGTTGTGCGGTCTTCCGCTCCATTGTACTCTATGGGCTCTGAGATTCCTGGCTCAGGTTCCACCACAAGCCTTTGCCGTAAAGTGGAGTCTTTGAAGGAACCCTGAATAAGAATCTTTAAAGGAGCCTTTAACGGAACCCATGAAAGGAGCCCTTGAAGGGGCCCTCAAGGGAGCCCTTACCTTATCGGAAGACGCGTCAGGCTGGCAAGGTGGTGTTTCCACGCCCCTCTTTGTCGGGAACCTCAGGGCACCTCGCACCACCCAGCATCTGCGAGCCTGAGGGAATTCGTTTTAAGAGTGTTAATCGTAACATTAGTCGTGACAGTAATAATAGTAGTAAAAATAGTAATCGTATTAACAACAATAGTAGTAATGATAATCATAGTAGCAGTATTAGTAGTATTATTAGTCTCAACCGTGGTATTGGTATGGATATGAGTATTCATACTTTATTCGTCTTTGTGTTAGTATTCGAGTATTAAAGAGGCAGGTGCTGGGGTTTCATGCTTGTGGATGTCGGGTGGTAGGTCCGTTGCCATATACGTTTTAATTCCACATCTTACTACCATTGCTCCAGTCAATCGTGCCGGCATGCCGCAGCTACACCCAAGCCAGGCGCACAGTTGTCAGTTCATCAGTTTACCAACACATCTTTCACGTGGTGTCGCGACGTTTTGGTTTTAAGGTCTTGCTTTAGAGACCTTTTCTTCTTTCACGTAGCCATGGCGCCTCCGCAGTCCAACGACAAGGCCTGAGCGAAGTTCGTGGTTCTCTTCTTTGGGCTTTTCCGAAGGCTCTTGAACCGTAGAACCGAGGGGTTTCCCTGCCTCATCTGCCCGGCCCGCTCTGCTGACCGGCCTGCATCCACCCATCCTAAACCCTGAAACAACTCATCGAAAGCAAACGAAACCAAACCCTAAACATTACACCCTAAACCTTGAAACCCTAAACCCTAAACATGGCACCTTAAAGCCTAAACCCTAAACATTACACCCTACTAAACCCTTAAACCCTGAAGCCTTAAAAGCGAAAGCCCTGAAGCTGAAAGTGTGACAGGGCCTCCGCTCCGAGGGCATCCTCCCTGCTGTCGGGGTCGGCGCCGCCGTGCCACCTGGCGTCGAGTTTAAAGAGAGAGTGGGGATCTAGGATTTAGGGTTTTAGGGGTTTAAGGGGGTTTCGATTTAGGGCCACCTGTTACCGCAGAGCTTGGAGGTTTCAGGGATTCATAGGTTTTTTCAAAAGCCTAAAACCTATGGTTTTTTAAAAAACCTATGGAACCTGGGATCCTCATGGGGCCTCGGCTTCGGCTCAAATCTCGGAGTTTTTCATGTCTCGTGTCTTGGTGGGGGTGGGGGTGGTGTTGGGGTTTCTGTAGTGCTCGGTTTGGAGGTTCCACTGAGGATTTTGTCTTTATGCCTCCGGTTTTCAAGCCTTCCGTTTCGTTTGGCTTCATCGGGCTCGACGTGGTAAGGACCTGCATCTTAGTGCTAGATCCCGAGTCCTGGTGCTAGATCTGCTTGTGTCCCAACAACTTTTTCGTATCTTCTACACCAAACACTGCGAAGCCCTTAAAAGCCTTAGCCCCTTATCTTGACGATGAGCCCTGAGACACCCCAGCAGCAAAGAAACTCGCCGTAAACCCCTACGTTTCGAATCCCGGAAACGCCTTAAACATCTTCAACCCTGGAAGCCACTCAGAGAAGCCAAAACCTTCCCAACTCGATATAGAAACCCCTAAAAACCTGAACCCCTGAACCCCTAAGCCCTAAGCCCTAAACCCTAAGCTTATCCTTCAGGTACTTTACGCTGACAACCGTCTCTTTAGGGACCCTCGGGCTCGTTGGCATCGGCGCTGGGGTGGGCTACGGCGTCGGGAGCTGCTCGCCCTAGCCGTTTTGGGATTCTGTATAGTCTAGTCTGGTACAGCACAGTGTAGTCTATCATAGTGTAGTATACACAGTGTAGGTTAGGTGTTGTGGCAGAGAGGGGAAATCAAAGAGAGACTACGATGATGCAGTTGGTTTTCGGTGCATGAGAGGCATTGATTGCGTCCGCGATAAACGGACCTGTGACGTTCTGGGTGTGCCTGGTTCCTTCTGTCGGGCTTCCTCGCTCTGCAGTACGCACTGTAAGGTTGGGCCATGGACAGGTTCCGAGAAAAGCGATGCCAGAAGAAGATGGACCAGCTTCCTGCGGAGCGGGGTGGGAAGGGGAAAACGGGAAGACGAGATTTCAGGCCGCAACAACCCATTGTTTTTAAGACACCGACATCTTCCCCAGTCTCCGCAAAATTAAGCAGCTTGCACCTCGAAGTCTTATGTCGAAATCCTAAGCCCTACAGCATAAGTTGGAAAAGCCCTAAACTCTAAGCCTAACTCTGCAGGAGCTGAAGGAGGGCCTCCGGCAGTGGCAGGCCTTCCTGGCCTCCCGGCATCCGGGGAACCCAAATCCTGCCGAGGCAGGGAGCAACTTGAGGGGTTGGGAATCGTACGGCATAGTATAGTTTAGTGTAGTCTAGTATGGTCTGGTATGGCATCGTATGGTATGTTATAGTCCAGAATAGTACAGTACACGTATGGTGTATAGTATAATAGAGTATGACATAGGACAGGATAGAACCCTTTCAGGACCCTTGTGAAGTACTTAACGGCAGAACAACCCTTATCAACCCTTACACAGCACCTTTAGAGAACCCTGATAGCAACCCTTCATGGAACTCTAAAGTCAAAGTGATGACGATGATGGTGATGATGACGATGATGACGACGATGACTTGACGATGCTACTGATCATGGTAAGTACTGCGATGATGGACATTGCTGTTCTCACCACTGATCACGTCATTCTTATTGCATGATGAATACCAGCTCAGTAGTTGTCGCCGTCGGCGTCGTCGCGGTCGTAGTAGTCGTAGGAGCAGGTGGCAGAGGTAGTGGGGAGGGTAGAGGTAGTTAGTAGCGCTAGTCTAGCGGTGGTGGTGGGTATCTGACCAAAACTCCGTTTTTGGCTGCCGAACAGCCGTAATTAGACAATATCCCTGAAGCCATGCCGCGGGAGGCCGAGGCACTGTTCGCGGAGTTCGCACAGTTCCAGCCCTTTTATGCGCAGCAGGCCCTTGTCTGCCGGGAGTGCGTCTTGTTCTGAGTCATTCTTTCCGAGTCACATAATCATACGTGTTGAGGGCAAGCCATGGCGGATAGATGTTTCAGTGCGGTGTTGGCATGGCCATGTCCTGCATCGATTCCTGCACGGGGGCGAGGGAAGAGGCGATGTAGTGCTCCCGAGACTATGCAGATTTAGCTGCCGGGCCAGGTGCAGCAGTTCGTGCATGCCCACGGTGGCAGCACAGCTCCTTCACTGCACTTGGGGAGCCGCCGTGTGTGCTGGGGGCTAGTGAGGGCTGCAAGCGATGGTTGGGATAGTGGGGTTCGAGCGTTCACTGTCAGTCCCAGTCTCCCTGACTTCCTCACACTTCTCGTCCCGATTGGTTTGCGGCAGTCGAGTGCTAGAGTGGTATGGATCTTGATTGCGGGAAGCCTCAAGGTTCACGGCACCCAAGCATTCGCTTTGCTTGAGGCTGGTGGGGCGGCCTACATGCAAGGAGGCGGTGCTCCTGCGCCTCAGGCAGTGCCGGTGCGGGTCGCAGCTGAAGTGTGAGGATTCGAGGCTTGGGAAGGCACAATTCTCCACCGCATGTCTCCCCAGCAGTGAGCAGCCTGATACCTAAGAAGCTTGGGGGGAGAGTGCGGCTACTGTGGATGTGGCCTAAAGAAGGCCACGCTGCTCCACACCGTTTATACATTTGCCTGGACATGCGATGGTACGGTGAACCATCGCCATCAGAACGGTCAGAACACCAAAGGTTGAAGCGGTGAGGTGTGACCATGTGTGCATGTACGCTTCGCAGTGTTTCAGGTGTAGCAGTGTATCAGGTGATGTAGTCTGAGTTAAGAATCATCACACGTTCAAGCGTCGCATGCATGTGTCAACGCTCCGCTCGCATGTCAGTGCTCCGCCACCTGGTTTCAATCTTAGCGTGGACAGAGAGGGAGTGCTGCGAGGGACTCCCCTCTCTTTTTGAAGAGAAGCGATCTGCCACCAAGCCGGTGAAGCCGTGAAGGGTATTATTGGATGAGGGTTTCAGAGCCGGCTCAGGACAGGTCGCGTGCCGACCATGTAGGAGGTATCTTCGTGCAGCAAACTGCTCACGGACAAAAGGACGCAGTGGAACGAACTTGTCAGGGTTTGGGATTCCCAGGCTTCGTTCAAGAGCGGGTATCTGAGGTGGACTACCAGGTGGTGAAACCAGGGCAACCTTGGCCAGGCAACCCCTCCGAGCTCCAACATACTTCGCCCGACGAGCAGAAGTCTCTCGGATCCTCTCGGGGCGGAAAGTGTTAGTGTTACTCCCCAAGCACTAAACCGCCACCCCTAAATGCGAAACCCTAAGAGCGCTCCGAACCCTAAGCGCCCCAAACCCAACTCCTGCGAAGCCGAGGTCCACTCTGTCCTTCGGACAGCTCGCGTCGAAGTCGCAGCTGGGAGCCTCAGCCTTGCAACCCTGGAGGGATCCTCCACATACTGTTGATGGACAAAATCCTGCATTACCCTTTATAAGGAATATACCATAGTTCCCATAGTTTAGAGTCCTTAGGGTCATGCAGGATTTCGTCCATCAGCAGTACCTACCTGTCGACCGAAGGTTAGGGGTTTTAGGGCTTTTTGTTTTTCTTTTTGAGAGTTCTAGAAGGTTTTTTTTTGCAGGCTTTTCGTCTAGGGGCCAGTGGTAAGTAGACTCTAATATAAATATGCACCACGCCTCATTTCTCATTGTAAGGCCACACTAACCATCTACACATATCTGCCTGACATCTACGAAGCCAGTCTAACCATGCACGCAGCGCGCAGGCATGTAGAGACGCTTGAACAAGACTGGGATGTTTGTGGGCAGCATCGCAACAGAGATTGGTATCAAAAAGCAGAGCAGAGTTCTGGCTCATCGCTGGCAGGTATAGGTTGTTGGCGGTTGTGAGTAGATAGGGAACCGAACTATACCGGAACTCCAAAAGCAGGAACCATGGCTGTATGCCCAACCCCCGACTGCACCCCCAGTCTTGACCAAGCCTAGGTCTCTGCCCCAAATGGCTGAGACCCAAGGCCCGTGGGTGGGTAAGGTGAGTTTTGAATCTTTCAGATCCCTTGAGGGGAGTCTGAAGGGAGTTTCAGAAAACGAGGGACTTCAATAGCGACACCCGCACCGGGGGCAAACCATGGGTGGAGCCCGATCCGGGCTCTCAGGGGCTCCACCTTGGTGGCCTTCCACAGTAAGTCCCATGATCGGTTTGGGGTTGAAGTGAAACCCTACGCTGAAGTTGAAGCAAGCGCTGGACCATGCAAGTCCTTCAACCCTAATAGGAGATGGTGTGGGGTTGCCCGTGATCTCGTCACAGAGGCACGTAAAAGAACTCCCGGTTTCGGCGATTCCTGTCACACCGTGCAAGCAAAATGGCTTGACGCCACCCACATGTGCTAGTCGGAGGTGGCATCATCTTAACATACAGGTCCGGCCACTGCACGAGAAGACGTCCTAAACATGGCTAAACCCCCAGGTCACGAGGTCCTAAACTCAAAACTCCTTCCAAAGCTCGAAGTCCAAGCCAGGTCCACAGCCTTTTCCTGAGGAGGAGAGTCGAGAATCCAACGAGGCCGTCTCCTAGAGTGTTTTTAGGGCTTTCGCCAGATTTGGGGTTTAGGGTTCTGTCTTCAGTCATTGAATTCTAGGGCTTTCCGGGGAAGATCGACAGGGCTAACCTCGATGTGGGAGGGCTGATTGCGTTTTTCGCGTTTGCTCGGGATCAGTGTTAGGCAGGTTTCGGCTTGTAGATTGAGATACGTAAATAGCTTGCACAACAGTTTCGATTATTTCTTCGATCAGCTGCACACTGTTCGTCACCCACATAACATTCACACTCCCATTCCCTTCGGCATGTGACGTTTTCGACATCCAGGCTGCGAAGGGCATGGAATTCGGGATGGCCCGGACGCCGTTCCACGACATGTTCCAACAGTGCCCCTAGCATTTGTTGACGAGTTGACCGGGTGGTGTCAGGGTGTGTCTCCCATTGCAGCTGTGCTGAGTCCTGACTGCAGCCCATGCAAAGTCTTTCTTCTTAGTTTTTAGTCTTTTGCGCCGTGTCGTCCTTTCCATCGCTAGTGGCTAGTACCATGATGGTCCGGCCGCAATAGCAGCGGGCCGCCTTTGCCTGCGCATGCAAACTGTGGGCCACGCTGTGAATCCGAAGCCAGAAAGCCACCCCATGAGAACAATGACAGGAATAACGACGCTGTTCAGTGGCGGTTTTGATGAACATCTCTACACCGGCAATGGTGACGACGGCGACGACAACTGCAGTCACTTCTGCACTAGTTCACTAGCACGATCAAGGACAGTCGGATCTGGCCGTGGGGGCGTTGGTGGATTTGTTGTAGCTGCGAACGGAAAAAAGTTATCTATCCATTGAGCTATCTGTCTAGAAAAGTATACACATGCGCATATATACACATAGCATATATATATATATATATATATATATATATATGTAGATGTGTATATATGTACACATGTATACACATACACACATACATATACAGTATTCAGCCGGAAAGACAAAATGCAGAAATTGTAGTCCCTGTTGTTGCTGTTGGTCATAGGTAGCCGCAACAGCAAAGAGAGCAAGAACGAAGGTAGCCGTGCCGGCACCGACACCCGTCAACAACATCAGCCCCATGATCAGGGTCATGGACCGCCTCCTCCTCCTCCTCCTGCTCCTCCTCCTCTCCCGCCTCCTCCTCCTCGTCGCCCTCCTCCTCCTCCTCCTCCTCCTCCTCCTCCTCCTCCTCCTCCTCCTCCTCGCCCATCATCATCATCATCATCGTCGCTATCATCGTCATCATCATCATCATTATCATCATCATCGTCATCATCATCATCATCAGGGTAATCAGGATCTATTTTCGTGTGCATCGTCAACGGTATCATCATCCTTAGCATCACCATCATCATAGTCATAATCGTCAACACCCTCGGCACTTTTGATCGGCAGGACGTTCTGCGACGGTTTGGGATTATAGATCTTGGTCGGCAGGTACCTTCTTCGCTGGGCCTTTCTCCAACGTCAGATCGAGTGGCCCGGTTCGATGCCTTCCTATTCTTGAGTGGGGTTGCGAACATGCAGTGCAAGTGCTCTGCCTTCGCACTGATCCCCATGAGTCGTTTCGATTGCACTGCCTCGTAGTGGTGTTGCACTACATCCTTGTCCGATCACTTGTTAGTACTGTTGCTATGCTTCGGGTGCCGGGACGACAACAGCTAGCGCAAAGACACGTATGATAATACCGGCTGCCCTTGGCTATTGATTAACCTCTGATTAGTACTATTGAAACTGGCCGGTACGGTTGTCAACATCCTTACTATCTACCTTCTCTTACTGTGGCCAGTAGTCATCTTTGTCTTGAACAGCACTGTCTCGTATCTTGCTACGGGAGAGTTTGTTGGGATGGCGGTGATGATCTTGTTGTTGATGATGATGAAGACGAGGATGATGATGACGACGATAACGGGGTTGGTACTGGTGACGCTGACGGTGATGGCTTTGATGTTGGTGATGCTGTTGATAAAGCTGATGGTGACGACGATGAAAACCGAATGCCGATGATGCCACAAGGCATCGCATTTCAGCTCCGCGCAGGGTGGATTCTTGTCCGAAGCCGGGCGTTTTGCACCTTAGTCTGTGTGGACTTCAAGCGATAGATTGCTTAATAATGCGTTGAGCTTTGCGGACAGTACATGGGGCGGAAGACAACCGAAAGTATCCAAAGTGCGGCTTGAGCTAGCAAGGTGTTTCAACTTTTACGCGATGTCAAGCCCGATTCCCGTCCAGTGAGGTACTGGATGGACTGGTACGAGCGGCGGAAGAACCTGCTGCTGGGGGCGCCCCTCGCCGTTGAATGGCAGTTGCCTATCGCTGCTTCCAACTGCATCCCCACGCGTGCATTGAAGGCCCCGGCCATAGCGGCTATGCCATAGCGTTGCCGACAAGCTTCTTGCAAGTGCCGACCTCGACCGAGGACGTTGCCAACGCAGAACTTTGCGCTGGTCTTTGTGCTCCCGTCACGGTTGCGGGAGTCATTGGATGGAAGACGTTGCCGTGATGGCATGAAGCAGCGTTTCGAAACACGCTACTTTTGTTGAATTGGGGTGCGAGATATCATCAGGCCACGCCCATTGTGAATTTCTCGTGCACGCACCAATTCCCCAGTAGGCTCCACGGACAGATTGGCTCGCTGCTGTATAAGGGATTGGTCCAGAAAAGTACTGAAGAGCCCGACCTGGATTAGACCATGCTCATGCAGTGCTGATCTTCACTTCAGGGCACCCCCGGCCGGGACTGCCGTCAGATGTTCGGTAGGTGCGTCAGTTAGCGCCTCCTGAAGAATGATCTAACCGGATGTTCCCATCGGACAGACACCTCCCTTGAATCCTGGGTACCCAAGCAAGCCGGCGAAGGCTTGCAAAGGCCGAAAACTCAGGCCAGGTTGCAGAATTCCTTCTTCCTGCCAATGCCATCCAATGCCTGTCGGTGCTCGCATCGTTCGAA